TACAGTTCACATATACAAACACGTTTACATATCTACGCTACAGTTCACATATACAAACACGTTTACATATCCACGATACAGTTCACATATACAAACACGTTTACATATCTACGCTACAGTTCACATATACAAACACGTTTACATATCTATGCTACGGTTCACATTTACGTAAACCTGTACACATCTACGCTGCGATTAACCTCTACGTACACTTTTAAACATCTACCCTATGGTTCACAGCTACGTACACATTTACAGTTGTACGCCACAGTTCACATCTACATAAACATTAAACGTTTTACGCTACGGTTCACATCTATATATACGTACACATGCAATTGTTCATGCTACAACTCACATTTATCTACACGTCAAATATCTGCGCTGCGGTTCACATCTACGTAGAAATTTAAACACCAACGTTATATGGTACTCATTTAAGTGCACATAAACCTTAAGAGAGACAATATCCAGGGTGACGAAAATAGTATATAAGGTGGCGTGGAGCATTGTGAGTGCACCTAGTAAACATGACTTATCTAGCGGCGGAAGGGGTATTTTCATATATGTACTGACATTTCTGATGTTTAATATTCTACAGATCCTCAAAGGCGAAGCACTCCATACCCGACATCATGGACTTAATCCATGCCATGCACCCACCTCCCAAACTAGCTGGTTCATTATACGACCGCTCAAGGTAATACCGGGACCTGTTGACAAACCACTTTAGCGACATAGCTGCATGTCTTAGCTTTGATAGGTTCAAAAGATAGGACGACACATTGCGCGACACCATGACACCACGGTGGTATGTCAGTTTAACTGTTTCCCGGCCGATGTTTCCCGTGACATTATTTAAAATAAATGCTTATTATTTGATAGCCAACTTTTGATATTACCTGGCAAAGAATCACTACTGGGTAAAAAAGTGCTAACTTTATTAACAGTTCATCTTGTTGGCCATAACATATTATGTTGTAGATGATCATCGGTGCGTGTCACAAACATTAGTTATAAATAGGTCAAGAATAAAGGTCATCATAGGAGCGTTCAGACCAAAAATAGTTACATGAAACTTTAGGCAAAACTTATAATTTTCCCTAGTATTCCTACATTTTAAAGAGACTCCAATTTTGAGGCCTTAACCCGCAAGTATTTAGTTCGATCCCAGCCTTAAAATGTTATGACTTTTCTAGTAGTAACAATTTCCATGAACTGTCGTCTTTGTAATGCACAATTTCATACTGCATAGTTGAGGTCAATTTGAGAGCCACTCCGATTATTTACAACGATTTATGAAGGTTAATAAAATCAGCACATTCTCAAATATAATGTTTGAATGTGCGTCTTTAATTTAAAAAGGTAATTGTAACACACACATACATGATTGCACCTATGAAATTTGGTAAATGATGCAGTATACCAAAAATGATAAAATACACTGCACCATAGAGCTGTTTCGTCCTACCGGGGCTCATAGGTGATGCTAGGGTCAAAAGGTTGTAATTCAAATTGGATCCTGAGTTTAAATTACTTACCTCAAAATATTCCCAATAATTCGAACCATACATCACTTTCTGAAGAGGAATTTGAATGCGTCTAAATCATGCTTCTAAACAGCACAGTGGTGTGTGCTCTGTTGTTGACATTGACAACCGGTGAATAGCTAGATGCTCCTGACTTCCAATCAGCATAAGATAACAGTAGAGGACCAGCTGTTAATTAGCCATTGAAGACGAAACTGGGTTATTAGGCAGATCGATCAATAGCATCGGCATCTTCTTTCCCAACAACCAGAATTTCGTAATGAATGTGAAGGGTAAGGCAACTATGTGAACAACACAGAGAACAAGCCAATCCAGCAAAAAGTAAAACAAAAAAATAAAAAAACGGCGGTATATTATGTTATGTTTTATAAACATCAACTTGGTGAAGTTAACTCTTTAACTTCAACAACGCCAGCGTCAATACAGACTTTACGTCCAGAAGCGTAGTTTGTTGATGTTGGCAGAACAGCATAGGGACAAGCAAAGAAATCCAAGTCTACCAAGAAAAAATTTAAATTAAAAAAGAATAAATAAGCTACACAGTAATATTATTACGTGAGGAGGGAACATCCACGTTGTGGGAGTCGGATTATTCTTTGCTAATTAACTCAAAAAAGCTTTATTTTCAACTATGCAAATTATTACCAACAGCTTTGAAAACCCTCATGACCGTAGCATGAATTAATTTTGTTACAATGCTGCCCATAAATTATGATAAAAATGGGTATCTGCAGTCATATGGCCTACACAGACTATTATGACACAAATCAAAACAGTCTTATTTACTTGATAGACAAACATTTCTAGTGAAGACAATAAGTGTCACGCTGGGTCCCTGCCCGATCTTATATCATAAAAGCCATGTTTGGGGTTAATTACATAATTTTCCAAATTCAGCTTTTGTAAGGTCAACAGAAAGCTCCAGTTTTAGCTTTAAAATAACAAGTAGGAATACACAATATGCAAATTTAGATGTCCTACATGAATATGTCCCCTCGATGAAACTTTATGAATTAAAAGAAAAAGATAGAGAACGTATTCTTTATTTTTTCTTAGCTATCAGGAAAGAAAATAGAATGAACATGTAAAATTGTAAATGGTCAAACTACAATGATCTGATGCAGGAAGACTAAAATAAGAAATGATATTTTAATAAGTATATAATATTTAAGAAGAATCGGTAGAAATACACGGATAGAACCACATTTTATTCTGCTACACGTTTTATAATAGTATCAAATTTCATTTACAAAATACTTGATAGATCACTTTCCATCTAAACCATCTCAAACCGGCTAAGAACAACATAAGAGGAAATTATGGATAAAATTAGTGCATAAAATCCTCTACATGTGTCAAATAAACATTCAGTTTAAAGGGTGAAAAAACTCACACAGGATCCTGCAGTAAGAACATATGTGCAAAATATAAATAACTGACACAAACATTAATAGATTATTATATCTATAGTATTTGAATGATAATTGTGTAAAAATATTTCAAAATAAAATAAATAATTGGAATCATAAGTCGAAATCGTAGCAATATGAATATGAATAGATATTAATAAAGATGTATTTATGTAAAAATAACAGTAAGTATCTTGTCCTTACAAAGTCGATAAATGTTCCCACGATATTTTAATTCACAATATACTCCCGACGTATAATTTCTTAAAAATCATTATATCGTGAAAAATCAGTACTTTAGCGTGTAACAACAATCCGATGTCAGTGACCTTGTGATTATGATGCTTTATAGACGGATAGTGACAAAGTGTGCAAATGATTATAAGGTAGCCGAGTTAACAATAAAGTGCCCGACTGGCTGGGTACATTACTCGTCATTGTAACTGAGATAATATAAAGTATAAGAAGTATCATGAACACTGACTGTTAGTGTAAGTTATTGTACATATAGTTAACCAATTATGTCGTTTTACTTTATACACTTCTATTTTGTAAAACCAAAAAGTAAAACTTCGATATAACATAATTTCCAAACTGATTAATCTTTTTGAAGAAATTCTGTCGTTCTGTTTGCTTCTTTGTGTTTTTAAGTAAAGTAATATTTGTATCTACTCACACAAAACGAAATATATTCACAACAACTTTATTAAATATATACAGATCATATACAGGTCATATTTAATTTTCATTATTGTTCATTGGTACACATATACAGTTGTAAAGTGTTAAAATCAGTACATGTACATGTAAACATATGCATCATACATTTTGTGCAAGTACAAGTAGTTTATATCTCTATACGATACTCAATACGATACTATGGGGAAGCTGTGAAATAAACCATTGTGTTGCTGCATAAAAAACAGTTGGAAGATAGTTCACTTCAGAGAAAATGCCTTGGATTAATTTTCGGATACTAGCACTCTAGGCCGCGATATGGGCGAGTACAGGAAGAGAGTTTAGTATTAAGAATATATATGATTCATATCACTACACTTTCTTTGTCTTTAAGACATGTATTTACAGGCTAACACTGGATAATACTTAATAAACAAAATAGTTGAATAGTTCTTGTACGACGAACTTGTGTAAATAATGTATTGTACAACGAAACAGGTGAGTATATTATCATAAACATTATAACATTATCAATCCATTCATGAGCTATAAGTGTATTACTGGAAAGAGAACAAGTTATACTTACACGTCCGGATTATCTGTTTACTATTAAGAATTTCTAATTTACCTCTGGCAAACACGTTTCCCATCAACGTTGGACGGGCAAGTTAATTAACGGTAAAGAGCGGGGAAATATTCAATATCCTCATCCCTATGTAGATTACAATTACCATTGATATTTTTGCGAACTAGCCTTTACAATGATAATCGTTCCCTTGAACGAAAGTAACGTTGTTTTAGTATGAGTGGATCGTTTTATTTTTACTAGGTATTGATGTATACTAAGGAGACAACAGATGTCCTACTAAAGTTACATATAGATTTATAAGTAATCTGTCATAAACACATTTATCCCAGTTCTCTATGGCACATTTACAAGTCTACGCCAGGGTCAACATTGACATTCATTATTAACACATCTACACTGTGATACATATTTGTTCTCCACCAATGGTTTAATAAAACACAAGGCTCTGAGAAGGTTAAAATTGTTTTCTTTACTCTATATGTGTAGCATTGTTCTTTAAAAGGAATTCTGGTCTACTTGTAATTTTATGTTGACTGTGGAACATTATACGTAGGTTATAAAAACATTTTCTCAACTCTGCTATATCAACAAAATTTCGACAAAAATGTTCAAAAATGTTGCAATAGTTGTATTATTTCGTCAGCCCTGTCCTAAAAAACTACAAAAGATAACCCCGTACACGCAATAACATGTCGGTATGTCATTGATTGCTTGTTTGTCGACCCATATCGATGTATGTGTGTTGGCCTATATAAAACGTCTAAGAGGTATGTATATAGCGTATGTGTATAAAAGCAAGCTGGACTGTAACGTATCACTTCTGCCATAACAATGTTTGGCGTTTTATTGGAACTTTTTACTGGCAGCAGTGGTCTGGTATGGACACTTTTGGTTCTGGTTGTGGCATATTATCTTTGGAATAGGCATCAGAGGCTGAAATCCCTACCGCCGGGTCCTACACCACTCCCACTGCTCGGCAACATACTTAACCTAGCTTCCGGTGACCAGCTAGAAACATTCAGTAAACTGCGGGAAAAGTATGGAGACTTGGTCACTCTGCACGTGGGGTCCTTCACCATGGTTGTGGTCAATGGTTACGACACACTACGAGAACTGTTTGTCAAGCACGGTGACGTCACATCTGACCGACCTGATCTGTTTGTATTCAGGGAGATAACGAAAGGCGAAGGTTATCATCATAATGTCCTACCTTTTCTGAAATCCAACATAGTAGCATAGTTTAATAGAAACACTACACCGCAAGTCAGAAGACTGACGTCTTCAAATCATTTGTAACAATTGTGTTAATGAATATGATGAATGAAAGCATGAACAAAGTTCTACGTAGAGGCGAACTCGTATGGGGATTCTACTTTTTGAGTTAAAATACAAAATCAACCACTGAATTAAGTTTTAAGTCTTGTATGTTTATATAACTATAATAGGCGTTGCCTAGAAAAACGTGTTTTTTTATTGTTCTACCTGTAGCATTATCAATTGTCACTTCATCCGTGATAACCATTTATTGCACTTAAATATTAGTTTAAAAAATTCTAGTGAAGTAATACTTCAAATTGGAATAAACAAAGTTTTCATGGAAATCAGTAATCTAGGTGACGATATAAGCATGTGTCCTAGAGAATGCATTCATTACACACATTGGCTACTGATGAGAGTAGATAGAAGATGAGAAACATCCTCAACACCGGCTGTAAGTGTCTGTTATTGTAGCCAGGAAATCGGTGGTTCAGAATTAGCTTCTTTGTCCTTTTTCAGGCAATATTTAAATAGCTTCCACAACGTTACACAGCTGCATTATTACATATTCATTTAAAAGTTTACTCCAAGCAATTTTTTATACCTTGCTAGGATCATATTTGAAGAAAAATATTAGTTTAACTGAAGGAACAAAAACGTTTCGTTTGTCATGTTGTTAAATAAACTATTACAATGCTGCATGAAAGTTTGATGATAATGTATTTATAACAAAATGTGTCTTTAGTGTATTTTGGGTTATTAATGATTTACATTGTAGTAAATATTCTATTTTTATTAAAATATTTTATTAATGGCAAATTGAAAATCATTGTATATACATTGACCAAGTAAAATTCTTATAAAACCCTTGAAATATGTTCTTTTGTCAAAAAATGTTTTCTTAATTATTTATTGGAAATAGGAATTGTGAGCAAATCAGGGGCGGATTGGAAAACGCAGAGAACGTTTGCTCTCGGAGGTCTGAGAGATTTTGGCTTCGGAAAAAAAAGTTTAGAAGGGAAAATAATGGAGGAAGTGGAAATATTCCTCAAGATTCTTGGCGAAAAGGAAAAACAACCCATGCACCCAGAGTCTCACATTCAGATAAGTGTTGCGAACATTATATGCGCCATTTTATTCGGGAAAAGGTTTGAACACAGTGACCCTACATTTATACAGCTCATGGCCTTGATAAACGAAAACGTCTCTCTCAATGGACCTTCCGGACTTTTAAACATCATGCCTTGCCTCCGATACGTGCCAGGAGACCCCCTAGGTTGTAGAAAAGTACTTAATAATGCAGATAGAATAATAAAGTTCCTGTACAGTATGATTGATGGTCATCAAAAGGACTACGACGAGGAAAACCTTAAAGACTTCATCGACGTTTACTTAAAGAAGATAAATAAAGAAGGACCTAACACGATCTTTACAAGTATGTTTGCCTATTCGACTCCCACATGTACGTAACATTATACTGATAGTTGTTTTCATTTCCCGAAAAACTTTAAGCAGGGAATAAGGCAATAAATATGTTTCAGGTCCTCCGACCAAATGTAGTTTTGACCTCCGACCCAAGCAATTTTGTCATACTCGAATGCACTTAAAGTTCCATTCGAGCGTGCCGTCCTTATGACTTCTCTTATTTTCAGCTAACCAAATAAAATCTTAATCCCATTATCTTATATAAAAGACCAAAAGTTATACTGAAAATTATAACACTCGGTCTGAATTGGTGATTTCTGTGATGTCTTACTATCACACAACTCGCCCCCTCAAGAAATATGTTTTTTAAACAATTTCCTCACATCTACCCATTAATCAGTCATGTTAAATGAAACATTAAATTTGGTATGTCCCGTCCATGAAGCGTATGAAGCGTAAATGAAACTGAATCTAAGAAACATTGCGAACGGAATGTAAATATAAAAGTATGTCATTGGAATATGTAACCAACAATTAATCTTTCAGTAACATTTGTTCTCGTCTCTTAAGATATATAGCTATTAGAAACTTTGAATCCTCTACGACACGGCATATAAATCATCGATCAACAACTATTTAACATAAGTTATCCTCTTATTTCAGGATCTGAACTAATGAACACAATAGCCGATATTTTCTTCGCTGGGGTAGAGACGACAACCACAACTCTACTCTGGGCTATCCTGTTCTTCCTCAACAACCCGGATGTACAGAAGCGCTGTCACGAAGAAGTGATGAAGGTGGTTGGGGAGGGTCGCTTTCCTTCCCTGTCGGACCGTTCACAAATGCCGTACATTGAGGCTACAATCACAGAGATTCTCAGATGTGGGAATATCGCCCCACTTGGAGTGCCACATGCCCCAAGTGAGGACATAATGTTCCATGGACATTTGATACCGAAAGGGGCGATGTTGTTGCCAAATATCAACTCTGTCCACTCCGATCCTCTACTGTTCCCAGACCCGAGTAAATTTAACCCATCACGATTTATCGATAGTGATGGTAAATTTAGCGGAACGGAGCATGTTATATCGTTCTTCTTCGGTAAGTATGTAAGCTGTGTAAAAATCAGCATCGTGAAAGTTTAGATTTTGAACAAAAATCACTCTTAAAAACAAACATAAAAAACTCTATTTCCTCCATTTAAACATAAGATATTTGGCATGCATATCGCACAGTTAAAATTCATTTCTATTTACACATACACATCGTAATTCTAATTAATCGTTACTGTAAACACATCGTATTCCTATTAATCATAACTGTATATACATCGTTATTCCTATTAATTAAAACTGTATATACATCGTTATTCCTATTAGTCATTACTGTATATGCATCGTTATTTCTATTAATCATAACTGTATATACATCGTTATTCCTATTAATCATAACTGTATATACATCGTTATTCCTTTTAATCATAACTGTATATATATCGTTATTCCTATTAACCATAACTGTATATACATCGTTATTCCTTTTAACCATAACTGTATATACATCGTTATTCCTTTTAATCATAACTGTATATATATCGTGATTCCTATTAACCATAACTGTATATACATCGTTATTCCTTTTAACCATAACTGTATATACATCGTTATTCCTTTTAACCGTAACTGTATATACATCGTTATTCCTATTTATCATAACTGTATATATATATACATCGTTATTCCTATTAATCATACCTGTATATACATCGTTATTCCTATTAATCATAACTGTATATACTTCGTTATTCCTATTAATCATAACTGTATATACTTCGTTATTCCTATTAATCATAACTGTAAACACATCATATTCCTTTTAGTCATAACTGTATATACATCGTTATTCCTTTTAACCGTAACTGTATATACATCGTTATTCCTATTTATCATAACTGTATATATATATACATCGTTATTCCTATTAATCATAAATGTAAACACATCGTATTCCTTTTAATCATAACTGTATATATATCGTTATTCCTATTAACCATAACTGTATATACATCGTTATTCCTTTTAACCGTAACTGTATATACATCGTTATTCCTATTTATCATAACTGTATATATATATACATCGTTATTCCTATTAAGCATAACTGTATATACATCGTTATTCCTTTTAATCATAACTGTATATATATCGTGATTCCTATTAACCATAACTGTATATACATCGTTATTCCTTTTAACCGTAACTGTATATACATCGTTATTCCTATTAATCATAACTGTATATACATCGTTATTCCTTTTAACCATAACTGTATATACATCGTTATTCCTATTAATCATAACTGTATATATATATACATCGTTATTCCTATTAATCATAACTGTAAACACATCATATTCCTTTTAATCATAACTGTATATACATCGTTATTCCTAATAATCATACCTGTATATACATCGTTGTTCCTATGAATCATAACTGTATATACATCGTTATTCCTATTAATCATAACTGTATATATATATACATCGTTATTCCTATTAATCATAACTGTAAACACATCGTATTCCTTTTAATCATAACTGTAAACACATCGTTATTCCTATTAATCATAACTGTATATACGTCGTTATTCCTATTAATCATAACTGTATATACGTCGTTATTCCTATTAATCATAACTGTATATACATCGGTATTCCTATTAATCATAACTGTATATATATATATACATCGTTATTCCTATTAATCATAATTGTATATACATCGTTATTCCTATTAATCATAACTGTAAACACATCGTATTCCTTTTAATCATAAATGTAAACACATCGTTATTCCTATTAATCATAACTGTATATACATCGGTATTCCTATTAATCATAACTGTATATATATATACATCGATATACCTATTAATCATAACTGTATATACATCGTTATTCCTATTTCCCATAACTGTATATACATCGTTATTCCTATTAATCATAAATGTATATACATCGTTATTCCTAATAATCATACCTGTATATACATCGTTGTTCCTATGAATCATAACTGTATATACATCGTTATTCCTATTTACCATAACTGTATATACATTGTTATTCCTATTAATCATAACTGTATATATATACACATCGTTATTCCTATTAATCATAACTGTATCTACATCGTTATTCCTATTTACCATAACTGTATATACATTGTTATTCCTATTAATCATAACTGTATATATATATATATACATCGTTATTCCTATTAATCATAACTGTATATATATACACATCGTTATTCCTATTAATCATAACTGTATATACATCGGTATTCCTATTAATCATAACTGTATATATATACACATCGTTATTCCTATTAATCATAACTGTATATACATCGGTATTCCTATTAATCATAACTGTATATATATACACATCGTTATTCCTATTAATCATAACTGTATATACATCGGTATTCCTATTAATCATAACTGTATATATATATATACATCGTTATTCCTATTAATCATAACTGTATATACGTCGTTATTCCTATTAATCATAACTGTATATACATCGGTATTCCTATTAATCATAACTGTATATATATATATATATACATCGTTATTCCTATTAATCATTACTGTTTACACATCGTAATTCTAATTAATAATTATCGTGCTTTTGTTAATACATTTTTTTAATTATATATTTCACATACCATTCTTGAAAGAAAATATTGCGTTACCAAATCACGTGAACTATGAAAAAAGTAAACATTTCTTTTTTTCCATATTTAATATGTTATTGTGGTCATTATTGAAATGTCACAATGGAAACAAATGGATGACGTCATATTTAATCATTCAGCAGATTGCTACCATAGAAAGTATTAATTTGTACACAACCGTATTTTGTCAATTAAGGCTAGATATGAGAGGAAAAGACCTTATGGTCATTCGCTCTACGTTTATATAGTTAAGAACGACACTAATGAAAAAATAATTCTACACCAAAAGTGTTCGAGAAATATCTCAACAACGTTGGTTTCACATACTGTTTTATCATATTTTACCCCAGGTCGCCGTGTGTGTATGGGTGAGGCCCTCGCCAGGTCAGAGCTGTTCCTCTTCCTCACATCCATGGTCCAACGGTTTCAGTTCACACCAGAGGATCCGGACAACATTCCGCCTATCAAAGGCACTCTCGCAGCAACATTAAAACCGTGTGCTTATAAATGTAGAGCGGAGAGGAGGGATTAGAACGCGAGTATTCTTATCAAAGAAATTTATTTTGTTGTTGTCATTGGTACGGAACATAATTGGGATGAGTCCTTCCAACTGCTTATGAAAGTGGACACACATGAAAGCATAATAGGAATAAGAACATCATAATGGAATCAGTGACATAGTGAACCATATAAGGTTTGAATGGGACTGTTTATTATAAATGCTAAATTTCATATATCGTGATTTGTCCTCCATATATATGACATTTGATATTGTATACTGTTGTAAATATGTTTTCTATGTACATTTATAATTTTGTAAAGAGAAATAAAGTTGAAAGTTGAAGTTGAAGTTCTATGACATAATAACGTTGGTTGGTTGAAGAATTAGTATTGTATGCTGTAATGCAGACATTTAGAAAATGCATTGATATTGTATGACTTGCACTATGACAAGCGATTGTTTTTATGAGCCAGACATCATTTACATCACAGAATGTAATTATTGGGCATGCTGTAAAAAGTTGTAAGCCTGCAAAACCCCGCGGTGTAGATGGGAGAAGCCCGTAATTTGGCCTACTGTAAATCAAGCTGTGGCATGCCTTGTTTCTCTTATATTTATATTGCACTGTTGATAACAACAAATCTTGGTATTTTTTTAATTTGAGGTTGTAGCTTCGTTTTTATATCAATAATGTACACATAGAAAAATTACAGATATTTCATGTTTTCTTTCATATAATTGCAATACGAAAATAAACTTTGTTATTTTAATACTTTTACTCCATACAATTCTATTGGTTGGTAATAAGAATCACTGTTGTGCAAGATTGTTGATTAGAAAATAACTTAGGTTTATTTTCGTAGCGAAATATTTTCTTCAAATTTTGTGACCAGATGAAATTGCCAATATAACACGACAATGGAAATTGCAAGCAAAGTAAAATCATAAACATGGCAATCTCAAAACCGCAAATAAAACCTTTCGATGATTCGATTTCTTCCACGTTAACGCAAAAATAACAGTAGCGTAAATTGTGTAACAAAGGCTTGGCAAACTTATACTTGCACCGGCGATAACAGATGTTTTTGTTTACAATGAAAACTGTTGGTAAAAATAATGAGTCTTTCAAACTCTGCATTATCATTCTCTCAATTGACAATTAATGGAGATATATTAGAGTTAACTTAACTTAACATATAATTGGGAGATATAGGAGACAGATTGTGGTCATTATAGTTATTAGTGGCAGAGGCAAGGCAGATGTCAAGGGTCAAAACTATAATGTTCACTTCGACACACACAAGTGTGTAACAAGAGGTCACATATAAACAGTAAATATTATACATGGCGGCACACAATAACGGCAAAACGTGAAACTATAGATTTTAGACGTTTCCGTCTCTAAGCCACCTTGATTGTGCTCTCTTCTCAATATCCTCAGGAAACAGGGGAGGTATGGGTAAAAACTTTATGTCGTTGATCAACTGGCACCGCCACTCTCTTTTGGAATGCACATTTGGATCGACATAAGAAATTGTCTTTGATGTCGGATCGAAATGTTGAACAATTGTACCAAACTGGGTTTTAAATGTAACACTACCATATGATGCCAGCTCTTAATAACATTAATAGCTATGATAAACTTTCCTGCTTTTCAGTGTATTCCGTCCGTTGAAGGCATTCTAGGAGTTTTACTTTATACAAAAAAAGTGTAATACGCATCAGGGGCGTAACAAACGGGTTTTCAATGTGTAAGCCCAATGATGATGTGTGCTGCTGAAGGCAGCACCCCAAAGCGCGTAGCCTGAGGAGGGGTAGAGTATTCGAGGGGGGTTTTCCCCTCCCATTGGTGGGGGTCTGGGGGTCTCCCCCAGGAGAATTTTGTTTTCTAGAACACATGAGACGCGTTCTCCCTTGTTCTGGCGTCAGTTTTAATGGCCATTTTAAAGCAAGAAAATATCGTTTTCCCCTATTATTTTACAAATATTTTGCTTCTTTTTGGGTACGTAGGGATTGGTAATCACCTACGCCAATTCTATTATGGTGTTCGGTAACATTATTCCAAGGAAAAGAAAAATCTAAAATCAATGGTCAATGTGTAAAATATAAAGCCATGGCTTATGACCATTTCATATGTATTTTGTATTAATAAAGGGGATAAAAATCATAGGAGACCAATAATTTGCATAACTAGAGTTGCAATGACACGGTTACCATGTCCTACATCCTCAAGATTAAGAGTTTAGTACCTTGGGCCTCCATACGCTTTCAGAAGAACACACTTCAGCTTCACAAACCGGATGACCTGAACATCTTTTTTTTCAGTTAATGATGGAACTTCGGCTGCAAAAAGCCGAGATTTAGCAATATTTTTTTTAATATGGGGCACGGCATCTGTTCCATACAGAGTTTGTTATCTCAAATAATAGATTCAATAGAATGTCGCTATGGTTTCCTGTTCTGAAAGCTGAGATGTTAGAATTACAGCGTAATATACCAAAATCTGTTTCATTTTTCATTTTCTGACAGCCATCTAAGACAGGATCTGTGAAGCACTTTAGTGCAGGCAACATTTAGTGTAAATCAGTTCTTTCCTTGCCAGGAATTTGCCTTCTCGGAATGTCATGCATGAATCGAAAACAGGCGAAACTAAGAGTGGCCTATACTTTATCCTTTATAGTTCATTGTTTCCAGTTAATCGTCTTTTTGACGAAGCAAAAACCATATTGTACCCGACATTAAGCTTAAGTCTTTCAAATGAATATTAACGGTCTGCTTATTGAGGTTGACTTATTTGGACATGATCATGCTCTCAGTCCCATTTCTGTTCACTACTTCTGTCAAACTGAGTTCAGAAGATCCTTTGTGGCAGCGTGCGTATGTAGGTTATTTATATTACTGAAGCTATCTGGTGCAAATTTACTGTTTTTCCAATCCTCTCCCATAAACTCTTTCACAGGATTCTGTAGAGTGACGTTTTATGGCGATCATCCATTCCCTCTAAGAATCTTTCACTTTGGTAAGCTATTGTCAAAAGACGCGTTTCTTTGTTAGATACCTATTTTGTGATGAAATGTCAGACATCGGAGAACAACCATCTGTCACTTGTATTCATTCTTTCCGTTCCACCTTATTTCAGCATGCTTTTGTTTTCTTTCCAGTTAGGATGATTCCTTTCTATATCTTCATTGTCTTGTTTCCCCGAGTTTTGTTTCTGGCTTCTTTCGGTGAATCATCAATGGATAACTCCGCATCTTTGCTGACATTCCTCTTAGAAAAAGCATCCGTAACGTATGATACCAGGTTATTTTGCATTCGTAATAATCTGGAAACATTCTTTAGCTACAATTCTGTTGGCGGGCACCACATAACTGATACATTATTCCTGATACCGTATTCCTGGGGTGAGATGGACTGCAATTTATTTACAAAATAGGCAAAAAATACAAAGATATTTCAATATCACATAAATTGACAAACTTTATTGAAATTCAAAATGTGCATACATTGAAAATAAATAAAAACAACAAGCTTATATCAGCATTTGTATACGATAAAATTAATAATCATTCATAACTGTCTTTTTACCGGCCTCATAAACTCCCTTTCAGACAATTACTCTATTAGTATTCAACAGAATTTCACAGCCACACCTCATTTTATTACTCTCATCACATTGTTCCAGGATGTCTGCAGATACTCTTACTTATATGATGTTTCCTGGACAGGTACTGCAGCATTATCTATGCTGACATTACACACACACACACTTACACACACACACACACACATTATACTACTGGTAGCTGAAGAAAGGATATTTTTAAAGCAAATTTAACCAAATGTTATTTTGTTTTCCTGGGACAAGATACTCAAGTCACTCATCTACAGTTGGACAGGCAGTAGATTTAAGCATACAAATGTACTTCCCCTAACTTTGTACAATGTATGTGTATACATGCACTAAATGTAGGTCCAGGGAATGATATGCATCATACTTTGTACACAAAACATATTGACATGATACGGCATTCATCACAACAAGACACGGCATTCATCACACCAAGATACGGCATTTATCACAACAAGATATGGCCAGCCACATAAATGTAATTATAGTAAGGCAACAAGTTATAACAGGAGGTTATAACCTCACACAACACATACATCACATGACATCTAATGACAAACCCCCAGTGAAACCTATCTTAATTTAAAACAAATTATCACTGTTAGGGCCAGTAATTTAACAACAGATCATATGGCCTGTATTCATGAAACAGTTATTATGCTCAAGCAGGTATTCTGTGCTCAAACCAACTTTCGTGTAACTCCTTAAAAACCATGTGACGCTGTCAAAGAGTCAAATGTAAACGTTGGATATTCTGCTTTAAATTTTCCCCAAATTCTTACAAATCATTAACAACACATGATTTGTTAATTTATTGCCAGAACAAGAAATTACCGGGTAGTCCTAAGCACAGAATCCGAGTTTGAGCACAAAAACAGTTTCATGAAAATGGGCCTAAGTTTTAAGAGGTTTTTGTCAAAAGAAATATGAAGTAGGACTTGCTGAAGGAGTGGAATGTGGAAGGTTTTGGATTATGCAGGGTTTGGTTTTGACAGGTTATACTTTAGTGTTCATTTAAGGTAGAGGGTACCAATGCATGAGTGATAATCATAAAGACTTCTTTCTGAATTAGTGATATTTCTCTTGCCATGGTATTCATATCTAATTATGAAGCTGTACATTTATAATTTCGCTAAATTGCAACATAGGAAAAGTGAAGATTGGACACGATAAGGCGCCATGTTCGACTCTTTTAGGTTTCTTTTAAATTTTAACACTGATGAGTGCCTTAATATTTTATCTTTCAATGTCTTTTGCTTTTATCTAGTATATAATTTGTGAAATCATTATCGAAATTGTACCAACATTTTGTTTTCATTGTAAAAGTCTGGTTAATTTTACATTTTTTTAAATTTAATTACATGGACAGTTAAAAGAATGTAATAATTATTTCTCATTAAATAATTTAATAACCCAAAATAACAATATTTCAAAAGGCTAATGAATCTCTTAGTGGATATAAATTTTTAGTTACATTTCTTTGTCATAGTTATAAAAACTCCCACAACAAAATTAACGTAAGTATTGTAAAAGGCGAAGAAATCAATTTGATAAAGATGGCCCCAGTTTAAATTCAAAGTCTGTTTCTGAATGGTTGTTGATAAATGTCTATATAAAGGTACCAAGAAATTCTCTTCAGACATCTGCAAGATCATCCACTGATTTGACGACTTTGACCTTCTTAAATAGATTCTCTATCATCTTCTTGACAATTTCTTTCACTGCAATAAGAGAAAGCATACAATCATTATCAAATATTACAACAATCAACATTATAATAATAATAATATACAGCATTTATATAGCGCCCTATATAATTTGTAAAATTAATCTAAGGCGCTTTACAACATAAGGATAATAGTAATGGTTATAATTGTGAAAACAAACAAAAAAGGCTTGCAATCACTTTCATACATTTAACAAGCAATGTGCACATAATTGAACAAATAAAAGGGTGGTATTTACATGACGTCTTTGCAAAGATTCTAAAATGCAGACGTGAAGAGGTGAGTTTTTATTTCCCTCTTGAACTTGGCCAGGGTATTTGACTTCCTAATAGCAGATGGTAAGCTATTCCACAACGTAGCCAAAACCCTCCCAAAGCATCTGTTTCCGTAGGTCACAGTACGAGATTTTGGGACTCACAACAAAGATTCTGACTCCAACCGCAGTGATCTTGACGGCTGATACAGGGTAACAAGTTCCTGTAGGTACTGAGGAGCTGTTCCATTCAGTGCCTTGTATGTGTATACCAGAATTTTGTACTGCGACCTGTATCGTACAGGTAACCAGTGCAGCGAATAAAGCGCAGGTCTGATGTGCTCTCTCTTTCGAGTACGAGTAACTAGCCGTGCTGCAGTGTTCTGAACCCTCTGCAGACGACTAGTTAGTTTGTCAGATATACCACAGAGCAGGGCGTTACCATAATCCAACCGAGAGGTAACAAGTGAATGCACCAAAATCTTGCATGCATCTGCAGTTAGAAACTGCCGAATGCAGACGATGTTCCTGATCTGGTAGTAACGGGATTTGGCAATAGCGTTCACTTGTTTCTCCGTGTTCAGAGAACTGTCAAAGTATACCCCTAGGTTTTTAACAGCTGGAACAGTCTCAATAGTTCTGGCTCCAACCTTGAGCTGGAGAGCCATTGTTTGCTGACACTTTGGGGAAAAGACGATTAGTTCCGTCTTTTCCTGATTAAGTTTAAGCATGTTGGCGTTCATCCAGATACTGATATCTGTCAGACAAGCTTCCAGACTTTCTGAGACTGTATTCCAACTGTCCTGTGGTTTTATGACCATGTAAATTTGTGTGTCATCAGCATAGCAATGATAGCAAAGGCTATGGCGACGACAAATCTCTCCAATCAGTTTGGAGTACATACAATATTTTTCGTGGTCTTAACACCGACCCTTGAGGAGCCCCGAAATCTAGTACTTTGTCATGTGAGGTGGAAGATTCGATGGCAACACACTGTCGTCATTCACTCAGGTATGACTGTATCCAGCATAGTGCGGTATCAGTCACTCCATAAGAGTATTCCAAACGTTTATAAAGTATGCCATGGACGATGACGTCAAATGCAGCTGACAAGTTCAGCATGACAAGCACCGCTCTGCACTTGTTATTCAATGCAGAAGCTATATCACTATGTACATGTAGGAGGGCCGTCTCAGTAGAGTGTCCCATGCGGTAGGCCGATTGCATGTTGTCATGGAGACTGTTTGCATGGAGATGAACCTCTAAAACGCCGGGACACAACCTTCTCCAAGATCTTAGACAGAAAAGGCAGATTTGAAACTGGGCGGTAGTTTTTCAACTCCTCCTTGTCCATTCCAGGCTTCTTTAACAATGGTCTGACATGTGCCTTCTTGAAACATAATGGAACCTTTGACTCAACCAATGATTTATTCATGATTGCGGTAATCAAAGGAAGCAGTGCTTCAAGACATTGCTTTAATAGGTCTGAAGGCAGTGGATCAAGCTCACAGGACTTCGATTGCGAGGGCATGATAATGTTGCGCAACTCCTGGGTTGTTGGTGAGAGCTTTGTCAATGGTTCCCCATCAAATGCAATGTCAGCAGTCATGACAGAGATGTCAATGTCAGCAGAGGTGTTCACTTCGGTAATATTTTTCCTGATTGAGCTGGTTTTATTTAGAAAGTAATCACTGAACTTGCTTGCTAAGTCTTTTTCAGAATTACAGCTTGGTAGGATAATTTCACATTTCTGTCCCATTAGGTTTTTGGTGAGTCTAAAAAGTTGTCTTTTATCCTTGCCACATCCTTCGATTTTTTCCGAATAATAAGGCTTCTTTGACTGAAAGATCAGTGAACCAACTAGCCGACATTGCTCTCTATAAATCAGTTGGTGAACGGTTAATTTGGTCCGACGCCACCGTCTCTCTGCTTGTCTACGTTTCTGTTTTTCCACTCGGAGATTTTCATTATACCACGGGGCATTTGGTCTCACAGTTATCACCTTAGTTTGCAGAGGTGCGTGTTTCTCTATAAGGGCTTCTATACCAAATGTGTATGCTTCAACAAGATCATCAACCTTGCCTTCAGTAGATTGAAGGGCGGAACAAGACTGAACGTTATTGTTGAAATCTGGTATTGAAATTTCGCGGAATTTCCGGAAGCTCACTTCTTTCCTTGCACAAGCTGGCTTACTACAATTCAGTGTTGTGTGGACAGCAAGATGATCACCAGATTGGTTCCCCTTTACATCACTTAGACATGGATCAATGACTGAAATAGCTCCATGAATGACTGAGTTATCTTCCTTCGTTATGACCACATCCAGTGTGTGGCCATGGGTGTGTGTAGCTTCTGTCACATGCTGAATCATACCCCTGGAATCTAGTAGACCAGAGAACTGGCGAGCATCAACATTAGATAGATCATCTAAGTGGAAATTTAGATCACCCGTGATAATAATCTCTTGTGGTACAACAACTTGGTGGTCTAAAAAGGTATAACAACCATAACCCTAGGATCAGAACTATGAATATTTCCCCCACTCAAATCCCTCCATTTTCACCAAACATTTATCCAGTGTTTTCTTTTTCATCCTTTTCTTAAAGTTGCTCTTAAACTTAAATATTTTTAGTCTCTTGCCCCCTCACACCTCAGAAAGCTCTTAATGATTTCAATCAGAAATGATAAATTGTTTAATTAGGCAGTAAACACGGGTTAAGGATTAATATGAAAATCCAAATACATGTATACATTGTAAGTTTCGATATACATGCATATTTATATATACCTTCTTCTGGTTTTCCTGTTCCTCCAGGTTTTTCTATCACTTTATGTGACAATGCTCTTGCAACACTTTTGAATGTATCCTGAGTTAGAATATAGAAAGATATGATGAAGAATAAGAATATTCAAATATGCAATCTGATGAATATTCATATACTCATTATGTTGCCATATGAATATGCATTAGCATTAGAACATTGCATCAAACTGTAATGTACTTAGATCTTAATAATCATCATGCACCAACTACAGAAAGAAAGAAAGAAACCTTTCCTTTTTTTCCCAAATTTACACCAAATCTCAGTTTTAGACAGGGTTTATATTCTTCTTCAATAACTTTACACTTGTGATTCTTATTAGAGTTATCTCCCTGTACACTTTATGGATATAATTTGACTTTGTAATCAGAATGTTGACTCATCAAAAACATCGCCCATCAATTAATCAAATTTAAATAAGCAACCATAAATGATATTTTACAACTTCTTATTGCTGACCTCTTCTGGAAAGAAGAAGTTAGGAGAGTTAGGAAATACATTTGTTTAGAGTATACTTAGAGGGGCTGTTAGCCAAGTTGATGTACTTGTAATAATGACATGAATTCTCAGCTGATAGTGTGGTGAATGACTTTTTTAAAAGAATATTATTGAACTACTTCAATATTTGAGTCTTAGAAATGACAGTTGTCATGAAAATTTATTTTTAATATGTTAATAAGGTCAATGTATAACATAGTAACATTTTCGTTTAGAATGTAGAATATCCTCCTGATTGAGATATAGAGAGTGAACTATTCAATACATACCCCACAGAATTTCACAAGCTTTACCTCATTTTACTACTGTTCAGATGTCTTAACTCATTTACAGCAGAAATCTTAACACTCTAACAAAGATCAAATGTGATTTTTTTTAAACTACCAAAATTCCAGCAGACAAGTAGAATAGACAACAGAAGGATGTATTGGTAGAGTAACTCACCTTTGTCGGTATCCTGCCACTCTTGTAGTGAGGAGTCAGATACTTCACCACTAGGTCTGCGGCAACCTTCCGCTTTTCCACACTTCCTCCCCTGGACGTGGATGGATCTTCAGTTGACCTTGAACTCCGACTTTCTGCTCTGGGCTTGGATGGATCTTCAGTTGACCTTGAACTTCGACTTTCTGATCCAGAAGTGGATGGATCTTCAGTTGACCTTGAACTTCGACTTTCTGATCCAGAAGTGGATGGATCTTCAGTTGACCTTGAACTCCGACTTTCTGCTCTGGGCTTGGATGGGTCTTCAGTTGACCTTGAACTTCGACTTTCTGATCTGGAAGTGGATTGACCTTCAGTTGACCTTGAACTACGACTTTCTGCTCTGGACCTGGATGGATCTTCAGACAACCTCGAACTACGACTCGGTTTGGTAGAGTTGGAAGTGTCTATTTCTATTCTTCTTTTCTTAGCCGTGATGTTGCTTATCTGGTACGTTCAAACAATGATAAATTACAAAATCATGATATACATCCACAAAAAGAATGGTAGTGACGTAAATTTCTTTCTATTGTTTAGTGTACCATAAAAGCACTTTGCTGCTTGTAGCATTTTCAAGTATAGTTTAAGGTGGCTCCACACTTTCGCAATTAACCAGCAAAATTCGTTGAAACTTTCATATAATGGTTGTGCAACTATGTAGAGTTAATTTTATGAAAATCTAAACATTCCGATAGTTTGGGGAATTTTTTGGAAAAAATACCAAAAAATTGAATTTTCGCCACTTTTAATATTTTCCGTTTTTTTTTGTGTGTGGCATTGTTCGGAACAATAAAAACAATAAAAAAATGAAAAGAAGCATTTATAATTAATCCTACAAATATTTTATTTATCGCAAAATATGTAACACATGTTACACAAAGTGTTTTTTATTGAATTTGAACGGATAAAAGTGATTATCTACAAGCTAAAAGCAAACAGGACACACAGATCTATACATATAGAGTGGGAAATTGAACAAAATATACACAATGGCTTTATAATTAATTTATTTTACATTTTACAATCACTTTGATCCGGGTGAGAGTTATCTTCCTTGAAAAAAATCGGAACTTTTTGCAGAGGGATGACATTTACACAATGACAGTTGTCTCTGTTTACATATAACAAATGATGGAAATAAATCAAAAATATGATATCAAAATTATCAATTTATTGTTCTTTAATGGAACCAAATTACCCTCAGTCATGTACACTTTGGACATCATTCCACAGTCCGCTAACTCACGGTATATTTATAATTACATGTCAGGTACATATGTGACCAGAGGCTATCGCATGGTATGCCGTTCTCACGTGCCCTCACACATGCATTTCATAGGTATCTTGATATTTTACAAAACATTATTTTCACAGAGTAAGTAGACTACATTTGTAAACACGATTTAATCGACAGAGCGAAACTCCCTCAGCTTATGAACTCGTGTAAGCACGTGATATGCACATATGAGGTTGGTACGTCCGCATTCCATGTGTTTCCTATATGACCTTCTTGAGGTCGTCTGGTCTCATGTCACTGTCTTCCCGTGAGTCTGTTTATGTCAATGAATTGGAAAGCTTTATTCCTGAAGTACGTGTGATTATACATTTCCCGGTAAAATCTCGATATCGGGTGTTGACATATCATCGGCACGCACGTGTACTATTGTTTACCAGGGGCCTGTTCGTTTATGCGGAACAACCGGTTTGACCGTTTATAAATGTAACAATTCCGGGTATAAATCCTGGCGGACCTACAAATGTGTATGCAAGACTTGCAAGGCTTTCTCAAGGCTCGCCTGAAAGCAGCATCAGATAACTAGGTCTTACCTTATTTAATAAACGAACAACAGTGGTCCGATCGGTTTGACCGTTTAAACGCAAACGGCCCAGGTGTTACTATAATTTGCACTACGATATTGAATACCCGATACGCAAAACGGAAATGACGACACGGTGTACATGCACATTTCGATCAAGATAATTGAGTCCGAGCTGTACTTTTTCCGGAAGTACGTCACGAAAATGGACGCTGATGACGATGTGTCGAGCCACCTTAATATGTTTTTGTGAATCAAAATTAAATCAGAAATCTCTTAAACATGTAAAATGATAATGTTTTTATCACAAAATTAAAATAAACAAATAAAATTTGCTAGATTCAAAACATTCATTGTTCGTGCCTCCAGATCAGGTTCTAGTCAAATCCTAAATCAAGATGTAGATAACATTAGTATTACAGGTAATTAATTCATGTAAATGTATATTTAACAAGGCTCATCACCTTATCCTCCCTATTCCTCTTCACGGAAGGTTTGACCTGGACAGCTGCAAGAGGCCCTTCGGTATCCATGGTCCCCCTATCACACTCATGTTCAACAAGATCTGAGGTAGTGTCAGCCTTGGCCACTAGTACCACTCCTGGCTCAGTGTCTGTGGCCATTGTGTCAGAATCCACCATTTCTTTTTCAGCGACTTTCACCTTGATGTCGGCCAAGTCACAGTCAGTATCCCCTAAACTATCTTCTTCAGCTTCATATCTTTTTGTGAAAAAGTTTGTGATTTGGGGCACATTCTTGTTGATTTTTTCTTTCCCTTTAGACTTTGCTGATTTCGATTTCGATTTCGCAGAATTAGAAGATTTGTTTTGATCAAAATCGAAAGTCACTTTTTTAGAAATCACACTGCTTGCTTTTTGAAATCCAGAATGTTTCTGTTTTTTAGTAATTTTAGAAGCACTTGGCTTTGTCAGATTTGAGCTGGGTATCACACTATTGCCAATGGTGCTGAAGAGTCCCGGAGAAGAGGAAGGACTTGACCGACTCTCATCCTTGATATTCTCCACACAAACAGGAGACTTGGAGCTTTCATCTGTATCACAACTGTTCAACTCGGACACCCAAAGACTTGGCAAGGGGGGATCACTCTTCTGCACCTGATTATTCTTTCTCAACAATTCGGCTGCTGAAAGAAACACTGCTGGTTTAGAAGGAGGGGGCATGCTTTCTTCTTTTTCTATTAGTGTACTGGCAAGCATGTCGGAGGCAGAAGTGAAACCACAAACAGTTGAGGATGTTAAAGCTGTTGGGGACTCTTTCATGTCCCCTGATGCAGACATAGTACTTTTTGGTACCAGTGACAAGTGGAGATCTTTAGAAGATGTACATTTCTTGATCTCATTTGCCATCTTCATTACTGCAGCTTTGTAGATGTTGGCCATCTTGTTGACCTTGAACAGATCATACTCGAGGTCAATGGCAGCACACCTAGGTTCGTAGTCCTGCCCTACAAGCTTATGGGGAACCTCCTGGTAATACTGGCAGAAGTTGTCTCTCAGCGCCTTCTCGATCATACCCATACAATACTCGCGGCCCTGTAACATAGGTGTAGCTATACGGTACATACAATATTATCACAGTTTGTTTGTCTCACACTCCATTAACATACAGAATACCTCTCTTTACATATTCATACAGCAATATAAAAGATTGTGTCTTCTGGTACATATCCATACAGTATTATCAGAGATTGTCTTCCAATACATATGTACCGGGGTATTTTACATGTTGAAATGTCAGTTTACTTGTCTCGTAATAAATACATACACTGTTACAGAAATATCAAATGTGTGTTATATACAGCAAAAGCGAAATTTGAAAGTTTGTTTTTGCATTTTAAGTAGCATCCATCAGTATATCCAAGTTGGAATATTCCTATTTTGAAATTTTAACTCTTGAAAGCTGTATGGCGCCAAACATATATACAGATGACTAGGGACAACGTATTTGTGCCTAAGTTCATTAGCTTTTTTCGTTTAGATGTTATCCTAAATGAAATTAAATGATTTTTTTGTTATAAGAATTATGACATCACAAGAATACAATAAGAATGCTGTAACGGACTACTTAAATGTCAGTTTTTACCCAATCCAACTCCATATATAGGTCATGGATCTTCCATATATAGGTCATGGATCCTCCATATATAGGTCATGGATCCCCCATATATAGGTCATGGATCATGTGTTATAACCAATGAAAATGCTTCCAGCCTCTTATCACATGTGTTACGAAGCAAAATTTGAGCAATCTATTAACCAATCTTATCTTTTCCAACATCATAACTTTAACATTTAATATCAGCATTGTTAAGCATGCACATGGTACATGTCATTATGATACAACCTTGACGGTAAGTTTTGGTATTCTGCTACTGGCAGCGTCTCTGAGCGGGCAATCTGGGTCTGGTTCCTCAATAGGCTGTTCTGTAGTTGTAGAGGCTGAGTTGTCTTCTACACCCTTATATACAAAACAAAGAATATCACTTGACTGAGGTGGAGGTGTCTTCTACACCCTTATATACAAAACAAAGATTAATATATCACTTGACTGAGGTGGAGGAATCTTCTACACCTTTATATACAAAACAAAGAATAATATATCACTTGACTTCTGAAATAGTTTTCAAGAGTGATTTATTCTTTAAACATTAAATAAAGTAAAGATAATGGTGTTACATAAGATTTTTCAAGATAAGCAGTACTTACACTAATACTTTCCCCGCTGAATTTTTACCCTTTAATTTCTTGAAACAAATTTTCTATATTGAAATTATATCCCTCCCATTAAAGATTTTTGTTACTGTAATTAAAGTATCTGACAGATTTAAGAAATGTCCCACTGTATGGCATATGCTAAATTCATAACGTTGATCAAGGGAGAAAAGAGCAAAATCAAAGAGGGGAAAAAATGTCCTGCTCCAAAATATATTCCTATATATTGCATAAGAAAATGTTCTTTAATTCAGTGTGGTAAAAGTATATTTCATAAGGAAGAAATGAGACAATTTTGGAATATCTATTCTGCAATATCTTTTTAATTTTAACATAAAGAAAAATATCAAGACTTTTATCTTTTTTGTAAAATAACATTAAATTTACAAATGAGCAGCTTTATACAACATGACTCAGCTCATGACATGAGTTAGGGGACAGCAGATGTTTTGTTGAACAAAAATGTCAAACATGCATGAGACCTCAGGACAGAGGACAACCATTGATGTTAATATTGCAACCTTAAAATGTGATTGGTTTTGAAGTAGATAACTCGAACACTGACAGGTCAGTAAGGGCCCCGTCTTGTGGCAATATATCCCCCATAATCATCAAGAAGCAATCTGCCCATATAGCTGAGCTTGACGTTTGACATTTGGACTTCAAAAAGAATCGCAAGGAAGCAAAATATACAATTTACATGTACTATGATGTGAGTCTGTTTCCTTCCCCCTCCATATTTGCTTGGCTAAAAGAAATGTAAATACCGGTGCAATACTCATTTGTTAGCTTTGATTTGTTTTATTTCACCTTATATACCTCCTCCATCAAGAGCCAAGGTCAAAGTCAGAGATCCACTTTGTCTTTGCCCTTTGGACCCAAATGACCTTGACCATTAACCCAGTGACCCTGATCTTTGGGCAGTTGACTTATTCTTTAATTCCGACCAACTTTGCTTCTTATTATCATAAGAAAATGTGAATCAGTAAAAAATACAGGTCAGTTGACTCTGTGTTAAGTTCTGAACAACATTGCTTCATAATAACATAATAAAATGTTCATCAGGGAAACGGTACAAAATTTAACTTTGACCTTTGACCCAGTGACCTTGACCTTTGGTCAATTGACTACTTGTTTAATTCTGAGCAACATTGCTTCAAAGTGTCATAGCGAAATGTTCACCAGTGAAAAGATACAAAATGTAACCTTGACCTTTGACCCAATAACCTTGACCTTTAGTCAGTGGACTCCTTGTTTAATTCTGATCAACTTTGCTTCATCATGTCGTAACAAAATGTTCATCAGTGAAAAGATGCAAAATTTGACCTTGACCTTTGAATCTAATGACCTTCACCATTGGTCCGTTGACTCCTTGTTTAATTCTGATCAACTTTGCTTCATAATGTCATCAGTGAAAATATGTAAAATTTGACCTTGACCTTTGAACCTAATGACCTTAACCTTTGACCTTGACTTTTTACCTCAATGTGAATTTTTGTAAACTGATCATCTTTACCAAGTTTCATGTACATTGGCCAATAAATACTTGAGTTATCAGCCAGGAACAAAATTTGTGGACGGACAGACAGACAGACAGACAGACAGACAGACAGAGTGATTACTATAGGGCACCCGTATCTCCGATACGGGGCCCTAATTATAAGTCCTTGTCATTTGAAATGTCTTGAATTAAAATAACAGTCATCTTGGTGCAGAGATTAGATAAAGACAATATGATAGAGATATAACAAGCCACTGTATCTGTTAAAGGGAGAAAGATGTGAAAAGAATAACTGCCTTAGATTGAGATCAAATCAGCAACCAGTCTTTTCTAATCAGACGATCTACTGCTGCGCTAAAGGGAAATTCTCTCGGGCAAAAACTAAGAAAGGCAACTTTTACATAATGTGCAATGTACATCCTTTAAATAAATCAGATTTAGTACCGTATTAAAACATCTCTTTAAAAATAATTAACATTGAATATTATACAATGAATGCAAAATTTACCCCCTTTCTTTTTTTGAATTCTCTCATAATGAAATTGTGTCTCTGTTTTTTCTCTACTTGTTCCTTTCTCTCTCTTTTGAACGCTGCATCATCGTCATCATCAGCCCCATTTTCAAATGACCGGCTATAGGTGTCATATTCGCTGTAAAACACACAACAAAAGTTTGTCAACAGTCTTTAGCAGACATTAGATAGTGGTCATCAATCAGTCTGAGCGGTATCTCCAGATAATAATTAATACACTTCTGAAGATGACTTTGCTCCTACTTTTCCCCAGAGACAAAGTAAATCACGAAGTATTGAGAGAGATATATTGGAGATTTTTTTCAAAATGTACAATAGTTTTGGTTAATTATCATTTTAATATCATCAGTGTTGATTTTGTTAAGGGGGAAAATTCATGTAACATATTTACATGGCAATAAACTCATACTTGGTAATAAGCCCACCAATGTATATTGCAGTTAGGAAGAAATGCTAACAAAAGTTTCCCCATTGTCCTGTAATAAGCCCATCCCCTTACTTTCAGTCAGAGATTATGTGTTGGCCCACTGGACTTATTGCAGGATAAATACGGTATGTTAAACCATACAAAACAAGAATTAAGTCAGAACAAAGTCATTTATGATAAGTTTTCCTTACCAACAAATTAAATACTTTGGTGAATATTAATTTAAAATATTGTTAAAAAATGGTAGATGAGAAAGGTGGCATTAGTGACTATCTATTATCCAATCCTTAACTTCCATACCTCTTTGCTCCTCTTCTGCCTCCCCCGTACATGCCAGGATCATCCTCGTCATCATCCTCATAGAAGTAGATGCCTCCTCCACCACCCTTCTTGTTATTGAAGTTACCATAGGAGCCGGTCTGGAGGTCGCGGACTGCCTTAGCCACCCTCTTTGGATCTTTACATACGTCACAAGCCCCCTCACAGTCTGGCTTCACATCCCCAAAGTACCGAGCTATGGACCAGTGCCTACAACTGTACAGCAACATCTGTATTTGACAGATATCATGTGGCACATTGTACACAAAATAAGTTACATGTAAGGTTAAAACAGTCATAAGGTCCATGTGAGTTAAGGTTAAAACGGTCGAAAGGTCCAGATGAGTTAAAGTTAAAACGTCCGTAAGGTCCTAGTGAGTTAAGATTAAACCTGTCGTAAGGTCCAAGTGAGTTAAGATTAAACCTGTCGTGAGGTCCTAAAGAGCTAAGGTTAAAACGGTCGAAAGCAAATTTGCCTTTGTTCAGAGACAAAAATTAACATTATTTTTTTAAGAGAGATAAAATTAGGGAGAGGGCTTAATTGCAGGCACCCACCCAGTTTCCATGTTATTTGCCAAAGTGGGGCGGGGGCTTATTTGTGATTTGGAGCTTATTTGAGGTCAAGTACTGTAATTCAAAATTGATTCAAGATAAAAATATAATTTGATTACCAAAGATTAACATTTTCTGAAATATGTTTGACAATAGATGATAATAAAATTGTTCTGGAACAAGATTTCATGGAAAATCTTAGGGTTGGACAACAGAAGCTGTTCCATGACATAAGATCACTGGGTTTTTTTTATCCCTATTAACATATTATGCATATTAATACTTGAATTACAAAATAAGTATTCAGTATCTTACTCTTGATCCTCACAATACTTGACTAATGCCTCAAAACTCTTTTGGGCAGCTTTCTGTTTTTCAGCTATTACTGCCTTGTCAACCTTCTGAAATAAGAATCATGAAAAATTCTGGTAAAAAAGGTTTCAAACAATTAGAAAGCAAAACAAAAATCTAAAATTGAAATGTACGTGCCAGGATCTTGGCCTATGGGTAATCATGAGATGACGTGGATAATGCATTCGCCTTTCACCAAGCCGGCCGGGATAGATTTACTGGTCGGACATGAAAAGGTATGAGGTCACCTTGCAGATCACATGTGTTTTCTACAGGTAACTGGGTTTCCTCTCACACTAAGACCCCAGCACGCTTACGTCCAGGCCAACAAGAGTGATTGATATAAGTTGAAGTAACTTGTTTCATAATGGTTGTAAAATAAATAATGAATAAAATTTATATTACATTTTTGTATATCATGGCCTATGGATTGTTACTGAGGAATATACTTAAAGCTGTCATAGGATGAAAAATTATAGTAAAATGCAGCCTGATAGCAGTGCACTTACTTTAAACCTTGTTGCCTCCTTCTGTATCAGAAAGGCTACAGTGTCTCTCTCATTCCTGGCATAGTAAAGTCGACAATAAGACTTCTGTCCATCTCGTCCTGCCCGCCCGGACTCCTGGTAGTAACCAGCCATAGATTTGGGAAGGGTCCAGTGAGCAACAAACCTGTAACATGCCGTAATTAACTGACATTATATATATCTAATGGTTTTAATAGCCTGATATATCACCCTGTTACTTTGACCAATCTTTGTTATTTGAAATGAACAAACAGTTTTCAGTTTATCTTTTCATTTTAATGCAGACACACCAATTTTCTTACCTAATTGCTGTTTGTATTGTCAAAACTGTTCTGAATTTAGGATAATACTATTGTTATACTATGTAAAATATCCATTGTATTCCTCTAATTGATGTTGTCCTGTCATCCAAACACTTTATGGGCTTTTTTTCATGCAATTCATAATTAATTACATATTCATACTATTAAATTATTTTGGTTAAAAAGCAAACAAAGCCTAAATAATACAGAAATCTGAGTAAGTCCAGTCTTTATTAAGGCCTGTACAATTTGTCCCTAAAATGAAATTAAGATCTTAAAATATGCTTTTGATAAAAAGTATATATTTGGTGTATCCTTACAATCAGAATCCTATTATAATCAAGAAATTGGAGTCAATCCAATCTTTCTCAAGTTCCCTATTGATACATTCACATATAATGAAACCTTAACAATTTATTCTTTCTTCTGAACACAGTTAAACATTGGTCCCTTTGGGATTTATTTAAACTAGATTTCTCTGTGTAACTCTTATGTTTTTACCTGACATTTGCTTTATCCACACCCATGCCAAAACTGATGGTGGCTGCAATGATAGGAAAACGTCCTTCCATCCATGACGACTGAACGTCTTCTCTAACGTCATTCTTCAGGCCAGCGTGGTAGGGTTTGGAGGGGATCCCCAGCTGATTGAGGTGAGACGCTACCTCATCACAGCCGTTCCTTGTTCTACAGTATACAATGCCACACCCAAACTCACTCTGCCAAAGAAAATCGATAGAAACTATTAGTCATACTATCAGTAATAATAATGTTTTAATACCCAATAAACCATCAAAATAGCTGAATAGGATTTTATCATTTGATAAGACAAATTCAATGTTTTAAAACTTTTACATCAATGTTACAAATGTAAAATGTAATATCACCATGAACTTTGAATTCACAAATTAAAATAAGATGACATATTCATGCATTCAAGGTGGTCAGATGGCACCTTTCCTGAACTTGACTTTTTGTGACACAAACATCTATACATAGGTAGGTATATAATACATGTAGGATAGAAAAAAGTGTTTGAGATTCACATTCCATTGTTTCATTAAAATCGAATGTAAGGGGAACTATGTATTTTTAAAACTTTTGTGTAACTCATTATTTGTATTGACAATCACCTTCTATATCGATTCCATAACAAAATAAGCCAGCATTCTATTTTCATAATGGATTATCTTCTTCTGCATATGCAAAGATATTTTGTAATATTCCAATTCATAGTATGTATTCACATTTTTCCTTAAATTAATTATAACTGTATTAGGTATAACAGTTGATTTTTAAACCAGATTTGATTATCTCATCCTGAATTTAAATTCTCTTACCCAATTTTCAATCTCAGATTCCTTTCCTTTTAAACAATTCAGAGCAGATCTCGCAAACTGATTTAAGTCTTCATATGGATTACCAATCACTTCTTTCATAGCAATATCATAAAATAAATTTGGTCTGAAGCAGCTCGATTTAAACTTCTTAACAGGTGCTTTCAACAGGAGTTGTTTCTCAATGTCTGTAACCACCTGAGCTGTGGCAGTAGCTGTAAGAGCAACGCACGGAATACCCGGCATTTTCCTTCGTAACTGGCCCAGTTTAAGGTAGTCTGGTCTGAAATCATGTCCCCACTGGGACACACAATGAGCTTCATCTACAATGAGGTATTTAAGGAGTTTTTTCTTGAAGAGACTGTCAATGATTGCCTTGAAGCTGTCAGTGGCAGCCTGTTCCGGGGTGATGTACAAGAGTCTTGTACGGGGCTTGGCGCTGCTTAGGTCGCCAAGTACACGTTTCTTTTCCGTGACAGTCTGTTTGGAGTTTAGTGTTTCTGACGGAATTTTCAACTGATCTAAATGATCCAACTGATCCTGCATCAGTGCTATCAAGGGTGAGATAACCAACGTTACACCAACTTTTCCCACTCTTGCTGGCAACTGATAACATAGAGACTTTCCTGCTCCAGTTGGCATGGAGATGAATATATCATGATTTCCTGAAATAGATCAAAAGTTTTTGTCAAAATCATAATGTTAAAACAACATTGTATTGATGAAAAAGCCATATAAAAAAAAACATGTTTTATTCAGTTGGATCACTCATTAAACTTTGTATGGTTAAAATATAATGACAAATTTATATATTGTCACAGAGATAAACTAGCTCATCACTTATCGCCTACAGGACTATACGCGCTAGAGAAATGAACCAGCCAACTAGTAGTTACAAACTTAAGAATATTTTCAACATTTTTCTCAATATATTCTGTATTTTGAAATATATATCCAATTATAGACCATATAGGTACCTGCCTAAAAAGGAGGGGGGAGATTCTATGTATACTCTATATACATCAACGTACTATGTGTACTGAGTGAGTGAGTATGTCTCCCCCAATTTTCAAGACATAGCGTGGTGTGAATAGATGGACACATAATCTTGGCATGTCCTTCACTTCACTGTAACAGGGTCCAGAAGTGTCGGTACTCTGTTGTTGTACATATATTTTTTTTTACATTTTTCTATTCTCTTATTATTTGTAAACATAATCTTAAACAAACATTTTATAATCATGCTGATCATTATATACCACTTTAAAGTGAAAAGTTAAAATAGAAAATAAGTTTTATTCAAATCAACTTATTGAATATAACAATAACATCCAAACAATATTTAATAGTTAACTGACTGACGCACAATATTAAATACTAAAAAGACTTGCAGGAAAATCAAACGACCGATTAAGACGGGAAATGCACAAATCACATTTAGCTTTCAGGGCGAACTGAATTATTGGGCGATATGTATGGGGAATTAACTTTTTTGGGGCGATATATATGAAACTTGGGCATATATTAACAGCTGTAGGCATTATGGTATTGGGGCGAATCCTCCAACACCAATAGTACACGGGCAAATCCTCCAACACCAATAGTATACGGAGAGAACCATTGTGTCACTGGAGAGATATTAAGCAGGAAACTCTATACAGACATGTCAGTGGGATGAGCTGGGCTCGAACCAAAACAATGACATTGGGTTACATTCGTGTATCCCAGTTGAAACAGTTCAGGTGCTCAGAAATATTCCATGATAAATGAAAGCACTTGGACCGTTCTATAGGCAGAGCTAAACATGCCCAGTTTCAGAGGATAATTTAATAACAATGTATCAAGCAGCTACAGAGCGATATAGATAGAGTGTATGATTGGTGCACTGTGTGGAAAATGAAAGTGAATGTGAAGAAGTGCTGCCAGGTCATTTTTACAAACAAGAAGAAATGTTTGAATTTTAATTACACTATGAACGGTGAGAACCTGAAGAATGAAATGTGTGTGAAAGATCTTGGTGTTTGGCTGACCTCTTCAATGAGTTTTAGTACCCACATTAGACGGGTACTGTTTCCAAATAAATGCGAATGCTCGGTTTTATAAAACGTACATGTAAAAGTTTTACACAAATACCTGTTTTAAGGTCTTTATATGTAAGTTATGTCAGGAGTCAGTTCCTACCAAACATCTTTAATTCACCAGGTCGAAGTTGTCCAGCGTAAATTTTTGAAATTTTTATGTTTTAAAGCAAAAGTCCATGTCTTCTGCTGACACTTGTAGGCATTTTAATCTTCCTAGCCTCGGACATTAAGGCGGGCATTTTTAGATTGTGTATTTCTTTACAAATGTGTTAATAGTGCTTTTGATTGTCCATATTTAGTCAAGCAAATGTGTTTTTTAGTCCCTGGTCATAATCAGCGATCAATTCGTTTCAACCAGTTTTACTGCCAGAGAAGTAGAATAAACTTTAGAAAGTATAGTATTTTAAACAGGATTCAATGTAATTTTAATTCTCTTGATTTTGCACCAGACTGCGATATGTTTCTACCTCTCTCGCAAAGTACGGTTAAAGAATATTTGTTATCACTAATTCCTTTTGTTTTACATATGAGTATCTTTTAGTCTGTGTTACATGCATAACTGACTGTGATATTTTATACTTGTGTTGAAATGTTGTTATCCATTCTGTAAGTGAACCCTTAGGTCTGTTGAATTGGAAATAAATAAAAAGAACATTATGCCCTTCTTTCACACGTCCACTGAATTAATTAGCATATCTTGAAACTACATGTGGCTTGACAATGTTTTAGAAAGAAAGAACGCAAACTAGCAAAAGTCAGCAGTTTAGTGTCAGTCAGGTACATCTGAACCCCTCAATCTACATGTGCCGAAGATCTGCGCCTGTCGTTTTCTATCCAGGTTCAACCATTTCAACGGGATACACAAAAGGGGCCCTGGTCTGCGGCCCACTGATGGTCACACATGTTTATTTTCCGAGGGCATAAACATCAAATTGATGGGAGCCCCCATACGACAAAGAAAAAGATAGGTCACAGCGCTAGCGTTAGCCCACTGCGAAACCGGGACATTATATTTTCTAATTCTGCTATTCTGAATCTCTGGTTAGTTGATATGTGAGTCAATTGTGATTTGTGGAGACAATCCTTGATCCGACCTGGAGCAACTTATGTATTTACGTGGCGGATCCAGAGACCTATCTGGTTTTTTTTCCAAATTTCCAGGGGGGGGGGGGGTCCATGTGGGGACAAAATGAGGAAAATGGTGAAAATACATGATTTTTAAAGAAAATTCACAAGATAGGGGGATTTTCTGGAGCCCCAAAAAAACCTCTGGATCCGCCACTGCATTTGTTGATGTAAAATACGACACTTAAGATATGACACTGCTTAACACCGCGAGCGACATATTGTGCCTTCAGATCAGACCATGTGTCAATCTGACATGGGACTGAAATTTACCGTGTAAAACACATCGAGTGGCTTGTTTCTGGAGTTTAGACTTGAATTCTTTGTGCTTAAAAACTGCTGTTAAAACTTTGTACATGGCTTCGTCCATGCCATCCTCTTGTTTGGACATATTTGACATAAATCAGCTGACTTGCAAACTTTTCAAAGAAAAAGGAGCAGACGGAAGTTTACAATATCAGCTTGATCGACATCATAAAAACGCTTCGTATCTCCGTTTCTATAAACGTTTTTTGGACTGCGATTAACACCTGTGCTTCCTGTAAATTTTCTTCCTGAAGTCGTTGAAGTGAGTCTGTGTCAGCTGAAAGACTAAGATTTGTTTGACGGTAAGTTTTCCCCCCGCACACTTATCTATGCATGCTCAGAACCCATTATGCAAATTACTTTCCTATCTACTATTTCGAATTACGGCAGCTTACACAGAGAGGAAGTTGTTGCTGAGACTGCAGTGTGAGTGTACTCTTGTCAGATCAGAATTTTGACAAGTGTTATCGACGATACAATTGTGTATTCTATACTCTATAACACATGAGTACTAAACTATTAGTATATGTCATGTTTGTGTGTGTGTAGCACAATTTCAAACTATTTCAAATACTCTTACATTGCTGGAATTCGAATATCAAGATGGTCTGACAGAGATACTAATCAGGATTGATCATTAGACAAAGGCCGAGTATTCAGTTCATTGTCCTTAAAATATGGGTTTTTCTTTTTTATTTCTTGCTTACAAAGGTGATGAAATTGTCAACTTTCGATATAAATCAGCTTGATGATTTTAAAGTTTTCGTCATAAAAAAAGAAAATTTTGCATATACACAGACTTCGATAACAAATCTAATTTTGCGATATATATTACAGTATATTGTGTTGTTGTTTGTAGTTTTAGCGTTAAATATTCAACTTCATATGAAATAGGTATTACCTAGATACACACTCATGGATAAGTGCAATACAGCCATATCTCGATGAAAGCACAGATGCATGCAGTCACTGAAAATTTCAATTGAATGAATCAGGGACAGTATATAGAGGGGATTGGCAACTCTGCCCCAGTCAAGATTCTATAGCATGTCACTTTTGTGTTTGTTCACCAAACCGCGAAGTCATCGAGAGCCCCTCTCGATCAGCCCACGCTTGCGCACTATCGTTAAAATTAAGCACTCATCTGCTTTCGGTGTCATGTCAACAATCTCACCGAGATCGAAGTGTTTCGATAACGGTTAGCCCTGATTGGGACTGTGTATTAGTAGGTCTTCTTTTTATTCAAGGGACAGGGCTATCGTTGCCACTATGTCTAGCCTTTCGGCTGTGTTGGTGGCTATTACAACAAATCACATTTCGTAAAGCACGTTCCAGTGAAAATAATGCTAATATTGACACTTTTTGACACAAAAACAGCACAAGTTATTTGTTATATTTTGTCATAAAAATTATTACGAAGCGGTATTGACGCCATCTTGCTATGTCAAAATTGAGATAAGTGGCGCTCGCTATCTGCTCCAGAATCAGGGGGAGGTAAGTCTAGATTGACGTGTCATAAAATTGGTAAGGCAGAGAGGGAGTTGTTTGTATCCCCTTCACTATACGTCCCTGAATGAATATATCTGAAAATAAGTCTTGTTATATATACTCTGGTATCTGGACACATTCTTACCTTTGTGCAAGGGAATAAAAGATGAGGTTGGATATAATGAGTTAGAAATAGGTCTTTGAGTAGAAAAAACAAAAACAAAATCAAGAAAACTGGAGTCATCTGATAATTGTCCTGCGATTCAGTTCCATGCATGTATATATACATAATTGACACTCATCATATTCTTTCCATCTCTCTTTTAATGCAATGTTAAAACCTACATCAGATATTTAAAACTGCACAGAATTTATGTGTTGATTGCAAATGAAGGTAAAAGAAAAGGAGTTTTGCCACACTATTGATTAATAGTTTGTTAGCCACACTATTGATTAAGTCACATGTAAGGCATATCTACATTTTCTTAATTACTTATATAGGATATATATAGAATTTACTCTCTGAGGGCCTACCGCGGGTGCAACATACATTTCAATAACACTTTTACATGGAAACATTGGAGAAATATGGAGCTGACGTTTTTGCACTAATTGCCAACTCAAGTCCATTAAAACTGACCAAAATTGTGAGCTTAAAAATTGTGACAAGTTGTCTGAAAAGGAAATATTATCGTTATATGTGAGCTATCAGAATGTCTAATAAATTGTTTTAGCCAGGAAATTATGTGAACTATATGCAAACAACTAAGAAATTAAAGCCATGTGTTATTAAGGAATTCATACAAAAGATGTATAGATAATTTAGATAACATCAAATGTTTGTAAAGTCTAGCCTGATAAGGATCGATGCTTGGGGGTATACATACATCCTTCAACAGAGATGTCTGTTTACAAATGTACATCTAATTATGTACTTTACATATAAAATCAAACCAAAAAAAGACTGGTAAAAAAGTGACATTACGCTACATTTATTACACAAACTGTCACAAATTTAAACCAAATATTATAATAATAATAAAATGTGACCAATTAAATCATTTAATTATAACAATTGTCAGGAGACCTTGGAAAGATTTGTTGTTCCCTTAGTTGACACAGCGTAGAATGCTTCCCCTGAGGGGAGTCGATCAGTTTGACAAATGATGACAAGATAACATTTGCTTCTTATTCTTTTGTTCTCGCCCGAGTAGTGGTGACAACCATGTGAGTCAGGCGCTAGAGCACAAACAAGAGGTGAAGCTTGATTATATAATTGGTGACCCTCAGGTGTTACATGATGGTACAAGAGTATACCCATGTATGCATACTCTAGTTTTGTGATTTTTACGTTGGTCAGTCTGCCCATCACATGTAAGTATATATTGATCGCTTGAGATGCTTATTATAACTCTTGATCAGGTCTCGTACATATATACTGTAGAATCATTTATTTTCGTGGAGTCAAAATTTCGTGGTTTTCATATATATACTAGCCTGTTTCAAGGACATTATATTTCGATGATTTCTGATTTCCCCCTATCTATATCATACTAAATTTATGTTATCGTGGGGATTTAATTTCTTGGATTTTTGTTATCCACGAAATATAGAAAATTTAATGTCCCACGAAAATTGATGATTTTAGTAGTTGTGAAATTTTGTATGTATACTGAAATCAGGGCCCGTACAAACTTTGTGAGACTGTCCTTTACAAGCATGAATTCTGCGCTCATGCAAGCCGTTCCTTTTTTGAAACTTGCTTAAATCATGTGACAATAAAAGAAATCAATTTATTGTTAACAATGAAAACAGTACTTTGGGCTTTATATAGTCTTATCAAAAATCAGTGACAAAGTGTAAATTTTTATAAATAATACCAGAATAAGGCATTCTGCAAATGTGCAGTGTTGGATCATAAGAACAGTTGTTTCTTTTTATATGAGTATGTCTTTTGATGTCGGAATGACTCTGAATGAGGTAACGTTATAGGCATTTGTTTACTTTTTGATACCAAAATTTGACTGGAGGTGCATGCACATGGCAGACAATGTTTAAGCTCACAATAATTTTACCGAATAAAATATCCGATCAACGTTTATATACAGTTAACTTTCTACCCTTTCCAATCGTTTCATGTACAGTAAGTACATTATACAGTGTATGATTTATTGTTTTAAAGGTAAAATTTAAGCAAATTATACATTACTTGTATATACATTTAACCCTTTCACCCGTAGGTAGCTTTAGTAGCTCTACCATGCATTGATCTGGATGAGCCCATGTATAATTATGGTCTACAGTGGTGAAAGGGTTAAGTATATAGACATTTATAAACAAGACTTTTATTGAATTGTGTTCTTTTTATCATAGAGAAACATACTGAATTTTTAAGTAGATTGTATACAACCATTATTGATTTATTATATTTACTAACAGCAAGAAGTAACTTCCTGCTCTGAGTACTATACCCAATAGTGTAGTATATATGTCAGTTTCCTGTGAAATAGTGACAATATACATGTATATATATATTTGTACCGAAAAATCAGTATTTGAATAATTATTGCAGCTTATCTTATATTGTTATATAGAGACGAACATGCTAAATTGAAAAATTAAAACATTAAAAAGATCAGACTCAATGCAGGTGAACAAATTGTATTACTGATAATGTAAATACAGACAGACAATTTATCTCTCACACGTTTGCATGTGATCAAAGGATCTTTAATGATTTCATTTTTGCACTGATGTAGCTAGCCTGTCTAGATTTTCCTTCCCATCTTGACTCAGCTGGCTGATTCTGTCCATCAATCAATTATTTAGACCATATATAGCGAGACTTAGACAGTGTGACCCAGCTACAGAAGCTAGCTGCAGCTGTCAGATATTTTACGTTAACTAACGTCTGATACCTGTTGAATACTGCCTAATGATTCAGCTTTGTTAACTCATTCACCCCTGAAAAATTCATATTGAACTTTTCCAACCTTTGAATTGGAAGAGTTCAATTGTGTCTTTAGGGGTGAATGAGTTGATGCTGTTATGTAGTATCAGGTATCACACACCTTTTGTATCGATGTGTAATATAACATACAGTCAATTAACATAGCATTCAAATTAATTCAGGATCAATGTTACCATACTGTGATGCGATATATATTTAGAAGATAATTATTGCTGTTGTGAAAATCCTTTTTATATGAAAACTTTCAGGCATTTTCCATGAGTTCTGAATATTTTGACCAGTTGTAAATATTTCGACATCAGTTTGAAGGATGGTTTATATTGGACAGTTATTAATTCCAGCCTTGATTCTATTTTGTCCTCCGTTGTTTAATTGACTTTTTGGAAAGCTGATTATAATTGAACATTAATCCAGATCAATTTCAACTGTATGGTTTGGTTTATTTGACATTTTAATCCTCGCAACAGCTAATTATAATTAAGTGATGGTGATCTGTTCATGACATAGTAGCAAGTTTAATAAATCCGATAAGTATAACACAAACTTGTAAGTTGTTCTGTCACAATATTTTATTTTTTTTTGGGGCGGGGGGGGATGGGTGTGTGTGTATGTCTGTGTAATGATACAACTATATCATACATGTTAAGTCACATTATAATTAACCATTCTTGCCTTTCTAGATCTAGAGAA